GTAACCTTGAAATTATGCAGGAGAAAAATGAAGAGTGCAATCGCCTTATAAAATTATTCACGATTGATCGCCAGCAGGTTATGTTCACAGCCAGCGTATTTTTTTCATATTACTGAATACAAAAAATGAGGGGGTCACTCACCTTGCGAGCCATAATCAGGCCACTCGGCTTATGGGATACCTTGGTCACAACACCGCCATTTCCTTGACCAAGTTCTTCAAGTTTCATGAAATCGTCACCGTTTAATTCCCCAAGTTGAGCTAGTTTTGCTTTTTGCGTAAGAAATGATTCGAGCCTCTGTCGCTGTTGATCGTCCAACTCGAGCTCGTCCAGTTTCTTGGCTAGCGCAGCGACACTCTCAGATGTGTTGTTTTTCCTGCGTTACAATGGAAACGTACAAGGAAAAAGGTGTCAGCACACAATTTTGGGCATTGTTTTCAAAATCATACGATGATCGGGAAACGATGGAGATATGGGGAATGACTTTGGAAAGCTGAAACAGTGATAGGACAACACATAAAGCTACAGACATCCCTAAAAGCATAGCTTCTATTTCAATACTCACTCAGAACTGCCACTACCGTGCGTTGAGCCGTTGTTTTCTGTAATTGTGCTCGGGTCGACCATCAGCGTCAAACCTTTCAAGTTCTTATTGCGGCTTTTATTTCCCGCCATTGCACCTTGCAACATCTTCCTGAGTGTATCCTTTTACGACTGCATTCATGCACCGGTCTGAAAAATTGTCCGATGGTGGAAATTTCGGCAGAGAAAAATAGCTTGACGATGTTGCTACACCCTGGAATATCAGAGTTTCAATGTACAGCACATCCCATAATATTTAACAAAAACAGTAATGCGCATGCGTAAATGCCAGGGTTGTCGGAAATGGGTCGACTACCACTCCCGATCATTCCCGAAAAGATGAAAGGGTGATAGTCTCGTAATACGTGAGATGATGTTTAAAAAAGAAAATGTAAACACGACTGTGATGTAATTGCATGAAGGAACGCTGACAAGCTTGTATGAGCACACAATAGTCTGTGTGAGAAGAACTCGTTCTTATTTGGTCCCGGTAATAACATGTTCTGCGCTGTCCCTGACTCAACTTTGAACCCCGGGCCTCACCCCCCCCCCCCCCGACGCGGACCACGGAGCTAAAAAAAAAAAAAAGCTCCATGCGCGGACCAATACGAGAGCAGGCGGACAAGTAGCTGTGGGCCCGTTAAATCTGCTATTTTCAGACAATATGATTTTTATCGATACAGAAGAGCTATAGTTCCTCCCGTGTACTTGTGTAACACAAAACGTGCGACGCCAAATGGCGCCGCAAATAATAGTCGATAGGCGCAAACACTGTGACAAAAATGATCTGTTTGAAGTTGTTTTTCCCGACAAACTTCGACAAAGTATGGTCCATTTGCAATTATTCTCCTGTAAACTAATACACACACAACACTAATCAGCATATAGCACGTATCCTTGCTCTGTAAATTCAGAATTAGAGAAAGTCATTGATTCACCCGGGGAAAATCACTTTTCGTTCGTCTGGAACATTTCAAGAGTTTGCGAACGACATACGCTGTCGGGTGGCGCTACTCCCATAATTACAATGCATGGGTATGCACCGCCGATCCTTGACCCGGTCCAATTTGAAAGAGGTTTAGACATTTTATAAAAAGTGTGTAATTTTTAGTGAAAAACGCAATTTTTTGTTCCAAAAAACACCCAACGCCGATCGCCTTGGGTTCAGTATTCAACTGGCTGCTGGGCACCCCACTCACAATCCATGCGAGTATCCAGTTATCTATTAACCCGGGGGAAATGAGATTGATATATAGAATCAAGTTCATAGTAATGGTTATTCACAGTGACTTTAAACCTCATCACATGCACTATGCTTTGCCTATTATGCAATCAATTAATAGTAATAATACTTCCGGAACCCCTTTTATAGGAAAGATAATTATCTTTAAAATCATAATAAAACTCATTGAATCTGCTTTCAACCACAGTCCCTCAAGGTGTTGAGGGACTGTGTTTCAACGAAGGTTATTACTTCGCGGAATGCTTGAATAACTATAGCATGCGTACGTGCGGACTATTATATTTCATGACATATGGATGGTGTATATCGGGTAATCGACCAATGTACTGATTTAGGATTCACCTACCTGTGCCAGGCTGACGAACTTAATTAGGCTGGCACTAAAAAGTTAGTGAGTACATACGCTAACAACCCAATGGTTGGAATTAATTAGTGAGATTATAAATACAAATCAGACGTACCCGGACGCATAAAACATGTTCGTTGTATTTATCTTATTATAATTATATTTTGAAACGTACGTAAGTTCAATGGAATATTCCAAAGTTCACTGTCTGGTTGTTAAATCACACGTCATATCAACGCACTGGTTTATCGTACACAATCTCGTCGGCACCACAGTCGAAGTGCTTGATGCTCGCCTGAAAGCAACATTGATAACTGTCACAAAAAATTACCCGTGTATCATATACCATATTTATCTTGCTGTCAACATGTTGCAACTTGTGGCTTATGTGCTGTAACCATCTAGTGACCACGAGGATTTCTAATATTATGGCATACTAGTTTGCGACGAAGATCACACTCGAATTGAAGAAGTCGCGCTAATCATGATTTAGATATGATCACAAAATCGCGAGAGAAATCCTATACATTTCTAGAAATCCTTAAAATTAGTGAATCTGTGAATAAATTGATTCGTGTTCATCTCAGACCGTCTCTTGCAGTGTCGGTTCTTATTCGCAAACCGTGTATTGCCAGTCTATGGTAATTAAATTCGTCATTTTGCATATGTGAATTGATCGATGACCCGATATACACGATCCATATGTCTAAATAAAGGGAACGCACGTTGCTTGACACGACTGCATAAATTAGTCATTTACATAAACTAATATTCACGAGCAATGAAAAACTCGTCTTTTCACTGTGACAAAATGCTTTCCAATAGCCAACATGGTAGTTATAAATTGACTGATTCTTTCATTATGAGCTGAAAAACATGATCGAAAATCTTATGTAAAAGTGTTTTTTAGACACGTGTCAGGTTTTTTTTTTTTCAGGTGAACATAACACGTTACGAAATGCATGGAGCATGCAGGACAAGTTGACATTTCACTCTAGTACTATTGCGCATAATATTTTCAAAAACTTTTAATAGTGATAAGTTACTTAATGTGCGTGCATGCGCAGTTTGAAATTGAGGAATTTAGAAGGCAATACAATCACGCGTACAAATCACTCCAGCAAGAAACTAGTATTGCCACACTGGTTGTCGGTTGAATTGTTTTGTAATACTATGTCAACACAATTTTAGGGTCTGTATGTAATGTTTGTAAGTTTCGTTGAGAACTTGTCTGTTGCTCTGACGATGGTTTACGGTCGACTTACTACGAAACGTACCACCCAAATCGGACGGCGCCCTCTCGTGCCAATGCTCGAACGGGGATAAGGATTAATGGACGAGACGTCATCGAAAATCCCCGCTAGAGCCCAGGTATAATTGAACAACATTGAATTCCCCAACTGCGTCATACTGAGCGAGGAGAACGGTCTTTTGCTAGATAATGTGCAAGGCGAAGCCGATTACAAATTATAGCGTCTAGACCCTTCTTTCATGCATCTCCCAATCACGGTTACTAGTAACCGTGTCCTAGTGCAATATGATCATGTGTTGATGGAATTTGAGGTGATTGCTTTAACGGACAGGACTGTTGCTTATTGGTAACGTTTTTGACACAAAGGATGTTGATTTAAATAATATTTTGATGTGCTGTCTTCTGTCGACTGGATAATTTTCAAAGGATAATACGGAATATGTTCCATTGAAGCTAAAAAACCGGGGTGCTAGGTCCGTTGGTTGTCCCAGGCTTTATTACATCTAGTTAGAAAAAACGTGTTCTCAGTCAATAGATAGAAATGACTATCAATTGTATACGGACTTCAGAAATAGCATCAAATACGAGCTTGTTGATGTCAACCAGTTTCATGCAAAAAAGCTCGCAGAAAAATTCAGAATCCTTCTTTGTTTGCGCACGTTCAAAGCAAAATATTGTGTGATTGGTTCCTTGATTGATAACAAGACTGGTGAGCAAGGCAATGTGATTGATTCCTTGCTTGATAATGAGGCTGATGCGCAAGGCTGATGTCACACGCGCTTCGTGTGCGTAGTTTATGTGCCGTAACCATCACGTGACCACATGATTTAACTCATACATAATCTTACGAATTAATTTCAGTACACTGGTAGTTGAGGTATGTGCCCACGACAGTCTAACGCGTTTAGTGTCAGTGTAATTTTGTAAATTTGGCGCAGGACAACCTCGAACCTGTATATTGATCGATTACCCGACTACACCATCCATATGCCACGATATAATCCGCGTTGAACGCAGTATTCAATGTGTGTGGGGTTATGATTCGTGACTGGGTTATATCCAAAATACGTAAGAAATGCCAGGCTATGCAAACCAATCAATCAATCACTAGAAAACGTATGCGTAAGTAATACGTGTAACACGTGGAGTAGCTACAGTTACGTCAATACAGTATATCCATTGATATACCGGAGAATTTACCAGAAAGTTAGTAATCCATTAAGTAAACAGAAACTGAAGGATACAAACGTTAAACACAACAACGCGGTAAAAAGTACCGCTAAAATAGTTGCCCGTTCTATTTACAGGCTTCGTAGGATATTGAACGCAAGGCGGAAATGTCCCTAATTGGCCAAAAGTTAACGTTATAGAGCTAGGTAATAAAGTGGTGTTTTCTATCACGTTCGGACTTATGTCAACAACATGTCAATTTATAGGCGTGGTTTAAAGCAAACAAATGTGCGTATATCAAATATGTAAGAAATACTCAAACACAGTATTTAAGAAAACTACGATAATGCAAATAATAAATGATTTCCAATGACAACGATCAAAATGCTTAAACACAACAACTTATTGATGTGTGTTATTCTGAAATGATCAATATGTTCATCCACACATGAACAATCTAACAATTTCATGTGGTTTCCAGTAACTTTATCGTTACTATTATTTTTCTTCTGACATCATATTCGTTCTTTATTTCATTCTGCACCGACATTTTGAGCGAGTAATAACTATATCACGTTCGGATAATGCCATTATTTATAAGCAAAAACAAATCCCGAATTACTAGTATTGATGATGCACCCACTGTCGCTTGTAGCACCACAGTCGTCAGGCATTGCATAATTCGCATGGGACCCATGTCGAACATATATATATATATATATATACATATATATATATATCACATGACTCGTAAGCAGAGTTAAAGACCGCGTTTAAAATACAGTTCACTCGATACAGATATACTAGTAGTCTCCATTCTATCTGCCAGTGAAAATAAAATTTGTTCAACATACCGTTCCATAAATTCGCGCCCTCAGTGGGCCGAGATCGATGAATATTTTACTCTATGCACTTACACCACAATTAGACTCATTCCCGTTATTATAGTCAATTGCAGGGCGTGGCCAGAATAATTATGATGTATTTCATACAGTGAATTTACAAATAACAAATTATTAGAACTAAGAGTGAGTTCACTACTACGAAGAATGAAAGATGTTTACAGTCCTCTGCAATGGCACACCCTGCAAATCAAAATATAGGTCGTGTTGCGTTGGGACAACAACCGCTGTGAACACCATAAGCGATGTTGATAAATGTGGTGTATCTTCAATCTGTACATTGGTCTATTATTATTATCATACACTATCCCTATGTCACGATATAGGGCACGCAAATAAGCATGCTAATACACGATAACAGGGCAAGGACCGGTATGAGCGCATTAGTGGACAGTTTTTATGATGCAATGAACTTACATTCACACACACGGTTGTGTAAACCTCTATTCTGAAGTCAATTATTTATAATTCAACAAACTTTGTTTATTTGTGATAGCGTTGATGTAAAACAACAATAATGAACCCCCTCCCCCACAGCGTCATATTAGAATCGGAGAGGGGTCTAAGCGCGATAATGTGTTCAGCTACGCCTCACGTAAATAAATAAATAAATACATAAATAAATTAATAAACAAACAAACAAATAAATAAATAAATAAATAAATAAATAAATAAATAAATAAATAAATAAATAAATAAATAAATAAATAAATAAATAAATAAATAAATAAATAAATAAACAAACAAACAAACAAACAAACAAACAAATAAATAAATAAATAAATAAATAAATAAATAAATAAATAAATAAATAAATAAATAAATAAATAAATAAATAAATAAGCTAGATTAACGCTGTATTAAACAAATTACGTAGAGATATAAATATAACGTAGAACTATAACAATAATTGAACATCTACAATACAATAGTGGTTCTAAGCCCATGTAATCCGTCATGTCCGAAATGACCTACTTATAACCATGATACACAGTATAGTATACTGTCTATGTCATAACGATGTAATAATACTAATAACTTTATTGATATCGTATCCGTTATAGGATCTTGAGTTAAATTACATTTACATATTATAGGCATGAAGTATACAGCGGCCTACTTACGTCCATGTATTAACTCTGCACTGAATTTGCGTTATGTGCCTATCACGTTTATCTAAAAATACGAGTAATCTGTTACGCTAATGCTTTATCTAATATACCCTTTTATAGTAATAGCAAACTTCAAAAAAATTGTATTGCTACATTAATTGTATCATAATATTTGTATGTTTTAAAAAGAAGGCCATGAGTTTTCTTGTCAAACTTGGTTATTTTTATGGCAATAATGCAGTGAACTAAATGACCTTCGCGGTACCAATTAAACACTTGGGTCATGTTTATTCAAAGACAGCCGGAAGGCCTCGAGTACACGCAATACATTACCATGTGTTTAATCATTTTACTCATTTGAAAAAAGCGCCCTCGTCGTTCGGCTGTCAAAAAAATTGACAAAGCAATTGGCAACCCAAGCCACGCCATGCGATTGTAATAGAAAGAGGTATACAGATAATATTTAATATTTTTCCAGTGTACTTCTTATATTTTAGTTTTCTTATTTTTTGTTGTTGTTGCTACTTTTAGATGTTTTTTGTTGTTGTTATATTTTGTTATCTTAGTTCATGTAACTTAATTTTTTTTTGTCTATCAAAAGTTTTTTATCCATAAGTCTTTGAGTGAAATGTATTTTTCATTTGGTGCAGCTCCTAGTTTACATAGTGAGCCCCTGTTACAAAAGGGAAGCAATAAATAAATAAATAAATAAATAAATAGCGCTCCCTCGTTACTAAATTTCGGTACAAAGAGCTACCACGAAATGATCAAACGTAAGTGGTGCCTTCATACGATATCTTTATATGTCCATGAAAAAAAAATCATTTCATACGAGCTCTCAATTTGTTAGAAGGCGTCACGAAAAGTAATGCTAGGGGATAGGGGCTATAATAATTAATAGATTTTCTGCGCGGAGATTCTGGTAGAATACTGCCTTTCGACACCTTTAGAGTTTGGCTGGTCCCCGCCTCTACGCTCAAGCCCAGCCGGGTCACGTGATCTGACGCACAGTTCAGCTAACTTTAGAGTCAAATTTAGATAGCGCCCTCTATAAAAACGAAAGTTATTACGCGTTACTACAATGGCGCTTGTCAATCAGCTGACCAAGCAGGGTCGAGTAGCAACCTGTCCAATCTTTTGAAATTAAGAACAATTTTTCCGATTCCCTCACTGGAAATGGATAACAGAAAGAAAGCATCGTCAAATGTCGACAGATATGGGAAGGTGAGCTTGTAAAATAGCCGTATGAATAGTTTTCGATGGCGTTACACAAATCGTGCGCACTTCCTTTTCCTGGGCCAAAGTACGAGCCTCTCTTGCTGGAAACCAGAACGGGGGGGGGGGGGGGTGCATCGACACAAACTTTTCTTGTGTATTGACCCACGTGTCTGGTGTCATTCCATATTTGTTGTTTCCCTTCTTTTCTCACTCAGAGATAACAAAGAGGGACGGTGCGTCATCTTTTGATTTTGCGGTAGTGTATAATAAACCAGATCTCGAGTTTGGGATGGACATAATACGTCACGGTCCATGAATTTGAGTTCCAATTTTGTCATCAAAATGACTGAATGTGCAATTTTCCTTTGACATTTGAACACCATTACAAACATGCCAAAGATAATTGAATAAAAACTTCATTTGAGTATATTATATGTGTTTAAACTGTCATTATAAACTCCAATAGGAATCCCATAGTGTGGGATAATATCTGGCTTCATTGCACCATTTGTTTTCACTGCATTCCCATGGCTATCTGCAGCATAGCTAATTACAACACACTCTCTCCAGTCAGCCAATAAGCATGCCGCTTACTATTTGAAGCAAAATGCTCATCAATGTCAACTTAAAGGAAATATCGTGTACATGATAACATGTGTACCGTGCTATGTCACCAAGCAACATGCTTAGTGTCTAAGCAGGGTATGTCATATATATATATCACTTGCGCAGACCATAAATGAGGTTGTTACTCATGCACAGTGACCTTTGTTGAAAACAAGAGGTCACTATTCACACTACACACCGGAAACTAGACACTTGGACATTTAATCCTGTTTGTAGTTGAAGATTGACTATATTTTATGCTCTCTGACAAGTCAGCTTTTGAAACACTTTATTTATATGATCCGCAGAATTCCGCAAAAATATTTAACTTTTTATAGAATCTTTGCATCCTTGGCTTTTGAAAACAACTTTCAAATCTGGCGAGCGATGGCGAGCAGTTGTCGAAAATCGCGACAATTGGTGCGATGGTAGGACGCTGAACAGTGCATCGGCTAGTTTTTGCTGTCAACCCTGCACACTGGCAATGAAACCATGTCACTGTGCAGTCGTTGTCTTCACATGCAATCATGCTTTCTGTCTCTTCAACACCACATATACAAAATGACTGGTGAAAAATAGCCAGTTCATTCCCAACTACGGCCAAGTCTGCCCATTCTTCCGCAGAAAAATCTAAATCGAAAATTTCGATAGGAACTCGTGTTACGCC